GAAACGACGAGCACGAAATCAATTGCTCACTGCACGGCGGTTTTCCGGTGTCGCCGATTGTTTCGGCGATCGCGCTGGCCATCCTGGCCACGGTAATAATATCGATAATATCGTTCTGTTACTGTTGGAGGTACTGGAAGCGCGAACAGAAAGGAACCATCATTTCCGTTACCGAACATACCTTTCTAGAGTTTAAGAACGGTCTCTGCTAAGACATGGAAGTTTTGTTCTAGTTACTAATCTAAGCTTCACTTGTGATGTAAATTTTTTTTAAGGATGGTGCTCGGAAACTATTTTGTCTACTCTTGTCCAAGAATTTGCCAAGTAAATTTAAGTGAGATTTTTTTTGCACTTAGCACTCAGTTAGGTACAACGATTTTCACCGTTCGTTTTTCAAATTACTGAATAGTGTGATTTTGATTACAAACAAGGGCTATAAGTAGGGGGCTGTTAACTCGATATACCTATTTTTGACTTGCATCTAATTTTGTAGTTAGTGACTAAGAAAAGAGCTTTGGAATATGTATAGTACAAGGCAAAATATCGTGCAATGACTGACAATATTGTATATCTGTTGTATATCTACAAAGTTTTTATGGTAATCGGTAGGAATAAAGTACGTAATTCAATAAACTGTGTGCGTCTTTTTATATCCTTTTTTTCCATTTCACTTTATTTCTCGAGAAACGACTTGTTGCTAAAATAAACGTCGCAATAAGGTGATTTGTTGTGCGTTACCAACATCTACCTCATAAATTTCAAATTTGAGAAGAAACTTGTAGCAGTTTGAGTCCAAATCTAAAACATCGTATCCAATCGGATCCGTGGTATCTTCCTTCCTTACTGGATTTGTACGGATTTAACTTTCCTTATGTCAAGGTGCGCCTTTGTTGATAATGGACGCTTCCATTACGTTAAGTAATGAACAATTCCGAAAACTATTAAGTAGATAGGCCTGTGGCGGAGACGATTGTCAACTTTTCAAAATGTCTCTCCCGATTTGACGGAGCCAAGGACAGCGACGTAAATGCGTTTATTGACGTCGTGCAAATATACAAAGATTGCGTGTGCGTTTCGGACGAAAATGCTCTTAAGGGATTTCACACGCTATTAGATGAATTCACGGCTACGTGGTTTCAAGGGGTATGAAAAACCCTAGACGACTGGAAAAGTGCGGTCGATTTGCGGCAAACCACTTTTCATCCCAAAAGACCAGATTACCGCGTATATCGTGGGTTGTTCGCGCGTGAACAGAACTCAAAGACAAATACAGATGTATGCATTTGAAAAGCTCGTTCTATTATTACCAAATGACACTTCAGGTAAGCTATCCGAACGGACATGGTATACGGTATTTTACATTGCCACATATCAGGAAAAGGTTACGCGCGCTTTGGTGAATAGATTTACAAAACTTTTAGAAAAAGCGAAAGAGATTTTTGATCCTGCGGCCGACAAACCGTTATCGTTTTTAAACTCTGAAAGTGCTAAGAATAAAAGAAGTGTATGTATTGCAAAGATGTTGGACATTTAAAGAAAGAGTGCCTACTTGCAAAACATAACCAAGCATGCAATCGTAGTGAGGGTAGGTACATTTAAGCTTGCTAAATGCGACAAAGTAACTTCCGGTTGACGAATAATGACCAAAATTTAATCGATTATTCCCTTGACCATTGTTTACCTATTGCTAAAAACAGAATTGGAAAATTCGGAACCATTAGTGAGTTATCGTGTCCACAGACGGACGAATGGACGGACGGACGGACGGACAGAAAGTCCAAAATCATAAACTCGCTTTTTGTTGCTCGTTAATAAACGCAATCCCTTCAAGTTTTTGTGACGCCCATTTATCTTAGACCCTCGTTATTGCGTAACATGCCCTTTTTTCGAATAATTTTACACCAAAACAGAGTCGCTAGCTTACGATCTAAAACACCGAAACTAATAATTTCTGTCGTAGGGTACAAACATAATTAGGTTATGAGACTAAAGCAATAAAGGCGAAAAATTTACGTTTGTAGCATGCTTGATTGTTTCGGAATTGATATTTAACTTGTAAAAAAAGCGTTCGAGAGGTAGCCAAACATACCCGTTTCTAATTAAATTTAGTGCGAATATCAATAATTCACTACAAGGAAAATTCTTTTCAATTAACGTTAATTGATTGGATTAGAGATATAATATTTGCAAGTAGCTGTAATCCTATATAAATCTGCGGGTATCTGATATGAATAAATGCAACAAATGGGTGCGTTAGTGAGGGACGGATTCATTAAATTAAAGTTATGAACTACAGATTTGTGTATGTGCCATTTTAGTAATAAAAATTCATCCACTGTGAAACTACGCGTTTATCTGTCAATTATTTGTAATTGGAAATAGAATTAAGTTTGCTAATTACGCAAGCTGCTAGTGAATTATATTAACTTGGCTGAAAGGATGAATTATTTCTTTATATTGCTCTTATAAAAAAATTCACATTTTTATTTTATCACTTCATGAATATGCAATGAAGTGTTTCAAAGAAAGTTATACTGGTTTTGGTGAGTTTACTGCTGCTGACAGTAGGGCCAAAGAGTGCCTTAAATTTTGCTTTCTGTAGAAAGCAGATCTGAGTGGAACCACGCCTATTATGAAAAAGACATTATAATTATTCTACCAGTGGAGTCTCCAACGGCCCTAATACTAGTCCGCGTTTCCGTGGTTAATCGGAGTAGTGCCATTTATGCGTTAGACCAAAATTTAAGGGCTCAGTCAACGAATAGAACAAGTATAAACTCGCTTCCGGCTTCATAATTTATTGGGAAACATAAAATGGCATACAAAAACAAAAAATCTAGCCCAAAAGAGTGAAAAGCCGGATGCGGTTCCGGCCGGTTACGCCCAGACGGGTTTAACTGTAGAGATGGCGCAAGTAGTGTAGAAAATGCTTAGTAGGCAACCATCTAAATACGCGACGGATAACTCGGAACCATTGTCTACGTTCGAGGAAACCTAACAGGGTTTCAGGCACCCAGGTGTTTTACTATCACGAGAATTTAGAACGTGTAATATCCGGTTGTAGCAGGCTGCGTTTGCTTATATGCGAGTGTGTGGTATCTCGCGCGTTGGTTTAGATTACTACACGGACAGACGGAAACAAAGTCCAAAATCATAAACTCGCTTTTTGTTGTTAGTTAATAGACGAAATCCCTTCAAGTTTTTGTGACGCCCATTTATGTTAGATCCTCGTTATTGCGTAACATGCCCCTTTTCCGAATAAGCCAGTTTTACACCAAAACAGAGTCGCTACCTTACGATCTTAAACACAGAAACTAATAATTTATGTCGTAGGGTATAAACGGAATTAGGTCATGAGACTAAAGCAATAAAGGTGAAAAATTTATTTACGTTTGTAGCATGCTTAATTGTTTCGGTTGTTCTTAAGAAATGGATATTTAACTTATAAAAAAAGCGTTCGGGAGGTAGCCAAACATACCCGTTTCTAATTAAATTCGGTACTATATGAATAATTCACTACAAGGAAAATTCTTTTCAATTAAAGTTAATTAATTGGATTAGAGATATAATATTTGCAAGTAGCTATAATCCTATATGAATCTGCGGGTATCTGATATGAATAAATGCAACAGATGGATGGGTCAGTGAGGGACGGATTCATTAAATTAAAGTTATGAACTACAGATTTGTTTATGTGCCTTTTTAGTAATTAAAATTCAACCACTGTAAAACTACGTGTTTATCTGTCAATTATTTGTAATTGGAAATGGAATTAAGTTTGCTAATTACGCAAGTTGCTAGTGAATTATACTAACTTAGCTGAAAAGATGAATCATTTCTTTATATTTCTCTTATAAAAGATTCACATCTTTATTTTATCACTTCAGGAATATGCAATGAAGTGTTTCGAAGAAAGTTATACTGGTTTAGGTGAGTTTACTGCTGCTGACAATAGGGCGAAAGAGTGCCTTAAATTTTGCGTTCTGTAGAAAGCAGATCTGGGCGGAACTATTCCTATTATGAGAAAAACATTATTATTATAATTATTCTACCAGTGGAGCATCCAACGGACCTAATACTAGTCCGCGTTTCCGTGGTTAATCGGAGCCGAGTACTGCCATTTAGGCGTTCGCTTGTAGCAGACCAAAATTTAAGGGCTCAGTCAACGAATAGAATAAGTATAAACTCGCTTCCGACTTCATAATTTATTGGGAAACATAAAATGGCATACAAAAACAAAGAAATCCTATAAGAGTGGAAAGCCCGATGCGGTTGTGGTCGGTATCGCGCAGACGGGTTTAACTGTAGAGATGGCGCAAGTAGTGTAGAAAAAGCAGCTTAGTAGGCAACCATCTAAATACCCACAACAGACATAAAACTGCGTTTGTAACACCTCATTGAATGTATAGATTCATCCGCATGCCGTTCGGCTTAAAAAATGCACCGGCTACATTTCACCGACTGATGGATCGTTTCAAGGCGTATTCTTGATTGTTCATTTAGAGGATCTAATCCGTAATATCGGCGACTGTTGAATCTCATTTGGAAGGTCTGCGGAAGGTCTTCGATCGACTAACTGTGCACAAATTTAAATTAAACAGAAAGAAATGCGTGTTCTGTCAAGAATCCGTAGAGTACCTTGGGCACGTGTGGGCAATCTCCGAAAGGAAACCCATGTGAAACAGCTTTTAAGTTTTATGGAAACTTGTTCGTGGTTCTGGAGATTTATCGCAGATTTTGCCAAGATATCGAAACCACCCACTACTCTAAGTGCTAAGTGGATATGGAACCCGGAGCATGACCGTGCGTTCAAGCAGTTTAAGAAAACCCTCAGTAGTGCACCCATACTGCAGACGGGGAATCTCGCCCTTCATTTTAATCACGAACTCTTATTCTTATCTAATCCGTTGCCCAGCAGAAAAACTGATTTGGAACCGACGCAATAATCGCGACTCGCTCGAATTATCGCAAAGCACAAACGTTGAGGTAAACGAAGCCGATTGGCTAATTTGGTAAACTTTTAATGAATACTGCAAAATGGTAATAACACTAATACACTGGGGTTATTAATTTCTCCCCGCTCAACGCCGCAATAACATTCTGCGCCGCTAATCTTGCCATGTCGGAACGTGTCTGCTGAGTGGCACTTCCCAGATGGGGCGACAAGACTGGAAAACGAACAGTTAGCTGTTATGATTCCTTTCGCGTTTTACGTACAGCAATTTGGTAATTGAACGAGCTCGTGATCGCTGGGTAGTGGTTCGGGTACCATCACGTCGAGCCCGGCCGCAAATATTGTATTCTCTTTCAACGCCTTCACCAAGGCAGCTTGATCGACAAGCCCTCCTCTTCCGATGTTCACAAAGATCGACGTACTCTTCATTTTCTTGAAGGCTGTTTCGTCGAACATTTCTTTTGTTTCGGGCATCAGTGGGCAAGATGCGATTACAAAGTCGCTTCGACTCAGGAGGTCATCGAACGTTACAAACTCCGCGCCCAGCTCTTTTCCTACAAATTGTAAATAGGTCAAACTCTTACTCAGTAGGTCGGTCGCAGACCTTCCGGTTTTTCTGCTCGACCGCAGTATACGAATTTATGAACTTCGAAAGCTTTGAGACGTTTAACTATGGCCTTTCCAATCTCGCCTAGTCCAACGATTCCAACGGTGGATCCTTTCAAGTCTTTTCCTAGCATCCATCGGAGGTTTGGAGCCCAGGTGTTACTGCGAGGAGTAAAATCTTTACTTGACTACGTGCTTTGTACAAATATACCTACTTTTGAATGTGCATTTGCCCTTCGCGTAGTCTTCTCGACGCCGCTAAGGCCAATAGAACTGCGATATCGGCAACGGCCGCATTTAACACGCCAGGAGTATTACTCAACTTAATATTCCTCCGCTTCAGTTCCTCCACGTCGATGTTATCCAATCCGGCGGACATTGCCGCGACCACTTCCAACTGGGGTCCTTAAATCAGTTCTGATTAAACACGCAAGTTGGAAGGTGTACGACCCACCTGCTGCATTAAGGATGTCTACGTCCAATTTCACTTTGGTCGACCAAAAGAGGGCGCTTACACCTGGGACTTTATCAACGAGCGACGCTTTCGTATTTACGTCATTTACGGTGGTGTTGTATCTAAAATTTTTCGAATGCTTTTGACACCTATAGATAAGAAGAGTGTAGGTATTCTTACTCAGCTCGCAGGAGATCAATCCCAATTTGGGGCACATCATTTGTGGAAATCAACACTTTTTTCTTTACTTCCTCCATTACTTTCCCACGTATACTGGCAATGAAATGTTAGCATAAATAACGCACTCAACATAATAAATCGAATGTTTGAATGTACTTCCTTATCTATCTATTGACGAGAAAAATGTTCGATAACGATGTGTCGTAGATACTTACAGTGACAATGGGGGTTCCCAATTTAATTTTTAATTTAGATAATTAGTAGGTACTGATTTGAATAAATTTTAATAATGATTTGGCTGCGTCATGGAAAATAAGATATTTTGAACAAAACTTGACCCTTTGGCAGACTTCTAAGGATGGGCGAAACGTGACCCTTTTGAATAACAATTTTGGGTCGTTGAAACAAGTAGGTAGTTGTATTGTTATATTATATTCCCGTCATTTCGGGATGAAACATCTACGTCAAAATGGGTCAGATCAGCTACAGTTTTTTGTAACCCCAATGTTCGTAAAACGTTTCCACAATTTTAACACCAATGTTTATACAAACCAACTGTCAAAAAGGAATTAAAAGAACATGATGCGAGTAAGCCTGCTTTTGACACCCTATATTACAGAAAACAATGACTTAGGGTTGAGCTTTGATGGTCAGTTTCATCGTTTCTGTGAATTATTTTTGGTGGGGCATTTTCTTTATTTTCCATTAGGAATGCTTCTATTTGGTCATTTATTTTTTGTTAGTTGTAACTCTTGGATGGCCATTCATATTGTACCTCCAAACAGCGTTTCCGGCTGCGCCTTTCACATTTCTTTCTCAAGTTCATGCACTTTGACTCAAAGAGACGTTCACAGTGGTCAATAAATACCACGATTTTTGGAGCAAACCGTGACAGCCATCCTGTATTTCAATGCTCTGGTTTCTGCTCTTTGGTTGTGTTGCACATGTGGTCGAAGCTCCCATTTTGAAGCGAGGAGCCACATGGATCAAGCTGGTCTGCCACCTAAACGTGCTCTCCAATAATTGCATCTAGATCAGCACGAAACCTTGGATCGCAGAGAGGCTGCATTCCTGGTAGATTCCTTTACTTGTAGTTGACTGGACACGCAATGTGCCCACCAAAGCATGTGCTGAAACATTCACTAGGGCTGCCATCACCTTCTCCACATCCCCTTTCTTCTGCTTGATGGCATTATTAAAACATCTCTTGAGAAATTCTATTATTTCTGAAGTCAAACAGTTTTTCGGTTCAAGTTTGTGCATCTTTGTCACCAATCAGCCGTTCCACTCGCACTCCAGCTTTAACCAAGTTGAGGTTCTCGAGGATCAGTTTGACTGCCGACCCTGACTCCATTGACTTCGAGAGACCATCATGATTTCTCACGCACTCTTGTTCAGATGTTTTCTTGATACACATTGACGGCACTAGGAACTTATTACATCCAATCTTAATATTTTGTTAGTCTTCTCACTAATAAAGCTCCCTCTACCACTGTGACTGTCATATTTGAATCCGTTTCTGCTCTCACCCTAGCCGAAGTCATACTTCACAGTGCCACGAATCAATTCGAAGGCTGTAGGTACTGTTTAAAGGAGTCTTCTGGAGGGAAAAGGACAGGGAACGGAGTCTCTTCTTATGAGTTTATGAGTTTAATGTCCTTTTGTACTGAATTGAGGGATCATGTTTTACACTTGTATTTATGATGTTTCGTTTTTGTTGGTGTGTTTAACTGCATTTGACTTGACACCTGATCCAGCGAGTCCGAACCGACTGCTACCGAGATTTAAATGTGGTGCGAGCAAACCTTTTGCTTTTAGGCTGCCGATTCGTCGAATTGAATTTAATACGACTTCCGAACTGTTTACTGATGCACTGTTTCTATTTTTTGCTAAAAGTCTCTGAAGTCACTCTGAACCGATCTTTGCCGACGCTTCGATGACAATCTCCAGCTTGATTACCCGCAATTTCAATACCTTTGACGTGATTCCTACGACGCCGACGGTTCAAAGCGCATTGGAAAATTCCCGGTCTCCCTACTTACTAATTCCTCCTACCACTCCGCAAGAAGTTGGCGGATTTCTTATCAATAATAGGACGTGACTAAGCTGTATTCTACTTTGAGATCAAAACTGACATTTTTAATTTAAATTATTGGCACTTAATTGTTGGATATCGTTTCCGAAATCAAGTGTTGTTTAATTTCTACGTTAGATGTCGCCTGTTGTTGTCCCCAATTAATGTATACTTTAGTATACCTTATCTCCAATATATTAATTCTCCACTTGTTTGTGTTTCTCCTTGTCACTATAAAAGCACGATTTTGTATTTCACCAAGAACTTTTTCCCAGATCACTTCGACCAGAACCATATTTCTTTGTATTCCAGACCAAACTTTTCCACATTCTTAATTATTAATTCCCGTACTAGTTATTCCAGGTCAGAGAATTACTTTTCCGTTTATTTTCCAGTTTGTTTTGGCTCCAGCGATAAATCCGCGGTGTCTACGATACCTCCACCTAATGCATGTACAGTGTGTCCCAGGTAGAACGCACCATAGGGAAACAGCAATGTATTTTTTCACGAAGGATCCGCGAGGCCTTTGAACTTAGCGCTTAACGTACTATTCCAATTTTTTTCTAGCCTCCTGGATCCTTCACGAAAAAATACATTAATCCTGATTCCCTATGGTGCGTTCTTCCTGAGGCATACGGTATAAGGTTGCTTATGTTTTAACTTTTGTTTTTCTTTTTAGCCCAGTAGGTACTACCAAAATCCCCATATAAAAAAAACTTATAGTTTTTCAATTTGGCCCAAACTGTTCTTTGGACCTTCCTCTTGAACATAATCCAAAAACCTCATATGTCGGGGGTGCGCAACAGGCCCTCATTTTGGATTTTTTTATCTCGAACAATGGAGGAGATAAAGTGAATGTTGGTGTGAAAGGGCTAGTTTGTGTAGGAAAAATGGAAAAGCAAAAAAAAAACTACACAAGGCCTCTACTGAGGCATACCTGAAGCAAAGAGATGGGGCATCGGCACCGGATCCCTTTTTGGGAGCAAGTAAACAGTCATTTGATTTTAAGCACATAAAGCAACGGAAGAGAGTCTCGAAAACGGTATCCAGTGTATAAAGTTCGAACAGTTGGTATGAACTGAAGCTGGTTATGGAAGGAAGGATGAATGCACTTGGCAAGTGCAAATACGTCTGTCACGATTTAGTAGCAAGTGAGGCAATGTACCATCAAGATTGTTACCTCACATTCTTCACACACCCCTCTTGTCAGTCTAGAGAATGAGGCCGACCCGTTCAAAGACGCCATGGAAGAAATTTGTAATTTTTTGGAAAAAAATAACAACAAATGCCAGTTTTCCTTCGAGGAGATCATGGGCCGATCAAGGCCCCAATAAACGCGCCGTTGGAAAGAAATTGATTGAGAAATATGAGGACGGCATAATGCAAACTTAGAAAAGAACACCGGTTGTGTTGTTCAGAGGAAGGGAACACGAAATCCTCAATGAGGCATGGTACACCTTCAAAAAAATCAACACTTGAAGCAGAACAAGTGCGAGTAGTACAGGCTGCAGCAGCTATAATAAAGGAAGATATACTGTCTGTGGTTGGTAACACTTGTGGCGACATTAACCCACAGAACTAACAATCCTCGACCAGCTGGTCGGGCGTGACCAATGACTTTGACATGAAATTAATCAAAAATCACGTCACCCCGACAAAGCAGGTGCCGGACGATTTTTTGTCATCCCTTTTTCCGGGATGAAAACCATCAGCGATATAGTTTTAGCACATAACACCGTAACAGCGGCATTCCTGCAACAAAGCTGAAATTTTAAGGTTTTCTGTTTTCAATAAGCAAAGATACTGCTGAAATCAAATCCCAGGTAAAGGTCAAAGGTCACCTCAATAGCTGACACCATAATAAAAGTAGTTCGGCCTCGCACCATCACTTCACCTCTTCAAGATGATTTGGGATTGCTTCACAGAATATACTGATCCAAAAACCTGATTAACAGTTTGGGTTTTTGTTCATCTTATGGAGATACACACTTCCTCTTGACTCATTTATGCAGTTCCTCTTCGATAATGCTGATTTCAATGTTGCTACCATTGATGAGCACAACACACAGCATGGGAGGAATCAAGGCCATCACTCCAGACTCCCATCTTGAATGTAATGGAGGAATAGTTAAAATGCAAGCAAAGCACTTGGTCCCATGTACATTACGAACCTCTTCAACCTGGGTTGAAAAACACTGTAATTGCTGATTTTACTGTAATTCCTAGTTGTGAGGAGCTCACAAAGGTGGAATCTTCTGACGTTTTGTGGGTGTTCGCAAATCTCCCCCAGATGCCTGGATGGAAAGCTTTTATGATCGCTGCCCATGGCACAATGAGGTGTGAAAACCACTATCGTTCGTTAAAGCGTCACCTTTTAACCTTGATACAATCTATACTGTGATGAAAATGGCCGTGCAACAGCGTAGATCAGTGTTGAGGAAAACCTCCCCGTCACCCCCAAACAAGATGTTTTCTTAATAAATGTTAGTAATAAAGCTGCCCTAATCCCAAAACTCCAGCACAATGATATTAACGCTTTGAGGGGTACGGGGATGCAGACAGCCATATAGAAGGCAGCTAAAAGTGGTCAAGTTGCCGTGGTGGAGGAAGACGTGGACCCGCTGGTTTTGGCAATTGGACTGACTCCGGTTCACCCAAATACTCATTTTTATTCCGACAAGCTCAAAGTATCACCCTTATTATTTTCATCAAATCAACACCAGCAATCGTTAGGATGTGACCCTACTTCAGCGACATACAACCATGGAAAAGTTAAAATAATTAAAACAGTTCACAAAAACCCTCGGCTTTTACAAATTCCACCCCTGTTTTACAACACAACCACCACATCAGAGGTCCTGTCTGAAGAGAAAATGTAGCATTATACGGAGCTCTCCCCACCATAACGCCAATAAACGCCCTCCGACATGCCTTGTTTCCACCGGACGTCGCTTCTTTCTCCCCAACTAAAGTTGCGATGCAGAGTTTACCACCAGATTCAGTTGTAGGTAGGGAACCCTCTGGATCCGAGGAAATGGGGGTGGAAAGAAGCGTCGTCAGCGCTAGAACCGGTCCACACCCGGCACCCTGCCGCACCTGTCTCTACATGGTCGCTGATAAGTCTGGAAACGGTCGACTATCGGGGAAAATATACAAGGCATCAAAAAAGTTTTATACAAAAGAATTCAGGTTCTTTAATGTCTACTAGGCAGTAGTAATTTTAATTATACAGGGTTGGTCATAAAGGTGTGACACAACAATATTGCATTTTTAGATGGAACACCGTGTATATTATTCGATATTTCAATTCTTCTGTCAATTCTGGGCATAATTCGTAAGAAGCATGTACCAAAATGCAATCGTTTCCGAGTTATCGAGTTTTGAAGATAAAATGTATTGAATAAAGAACAATAATTAATGACAATACGAATTTCTTTTGAAAACATTCTGTGGTTCTGAAAAAAACCGCTTGAAAAGTTTCTTAAGATTGTTTGGAATCATTAATTATTGTTTTTTGTTCAATTATTAATGAATGAATTTTAAAATAATGCTTTTATTTTTAAAACTCGATAACCCGGAAACGATTGAATTTCGGTGCTTACAATATGCAGATGCATATACAAAATTTGGGTGTGCTGCACCTTTATGAGCAACCCTGTATAATTAAAATTATTACTGCCTAGTAGACATTGAAGACTTTTGCATAATTTTTTTTTGATACCTTGTATATTTTCGCAGATAATTGACCGTTTCTTTACTTATCAAGCGACTCTATATTGAACATGATATTTTGCTCATTCAAGATTACGTGGGAGCCAAAGTGTGGCTGTCAAAAGGCAGGCCATGCTCGGCTACCTGCTCTGAATTCAATGGGTTGTACCTAACCTCTCCAGTTCCCCTCGTAGAGGAGTTGTCATACTATAAGCTTGATGAGTGAATATATTTAATTATGCGTTTTCCGAGTACTTTAATAAGTATTGTAGGCAAACTTGAAACAAATAAACAACACTCAACAGACTCGATCAATGTTTAGCCATATTGTATTTTCCGTTGTGAGAAGCAAGCTGTATTTACTCCATTTGAGCGGAATTTGTGTTTCCGGACTGACGGTAAATAAATAAGTTCTCAACAAACAGGTTAGAGCAACTTTGGTCTGCATCATTCCGAACCTCATACCTAAAACGGGGAAGAAATTAAACAATTCCATCTTCACTACGGACGTCGATAGTCACCAACGCAATGGCGAGGACCTTCGCCAAAGGGAATGTAAGTGAAGGGAACAATTCTGTGCTTGTTCTCTTCGGAAAACCTCTCCGGATCGAACTTTTCAGGATCGGGGAAATACTCCGGATCCATATGTAAGCCCAATACGGGAATGTGTACCTTGGTGCCCTTCTCTATCGTAACCCCACTGCTTGGTTCAACGTAATCTTTGATGCATTTCCGTGTTATGAAGGTCAGAGGTGGATACTTCCTTAGTGTCTCTAAACATGAAACCTACTAAATCATTAATGCAAAGGACCTTACCGTCGATAACTTGAGCCATGTACTTCATTTCAGTGATCGCATTGTAAGTAAGTTTTCCGCCATGTTGTTTTAAAACCTGATTAATTTCGTCCCGCACTTTTTCCTGTATATCTGCATTGGTTGCTAGTTCGTAAAGGCAAAACTTCATAGTAGAAGAAGAAGTTTCAAAACCGGCAAGGAAAAACATTAAAGCTTGAGCTGCAATTTCTTGTATTGTTAATGCGTTGACATTCGATTCTTGAAGTTCCATTAAAATTTGTAACATGTCTTTGCGTTGCACGCCATTTTCTCGCCTGTACTTAATGGTGTCTTTAACAACGTCGAAGAAAAAAGCAGAGCTCTCCTTAGGAATGAAGATTATCCCCAGTTTGTTAGCCAACTTCGGTAGTGCCGCCGCAAACAAAACTTGTAATGTTGTTGCTTTGCTTCGTGGAGCCAGTATATTTTTACCGTGGGCACGGAACTTCGTATCGTCACCTTTAAAGTTGTTGCACTCCAAACCAAAGGCGCAAGAAGTAATAACATCCGCCGTAAAACGCGAAAAAACATCTCCAATGTCAATCGTTTCCTTGTTGACAAAATAACTTGCCATAAGTTCCTCCATTGGATGAGTGCATTCCACCAGAGTATCAAACATCATCTTCATCTTACCCGAAGTGAAGGTCGGCGTAAGCTTAGCGCGCAGGTTCTTCCATTTTTGACCGCCAATGCTGAAGAGGTTGGCGCTTAGAGGATCATCTTTTTCGTTGTAGTAAAATCCGCGATCTACAAAATGTTGGAAATCTTTCCGCATGATATTTTTTATTAGTTCCGGGTCGATGGGTAGGTAATTTGGAGATGCAAAAACGTAGACGCCGGCGTGTTTCTCGCCACTTTCTTTAAATTTTCTATAGAAAACCGCTATCAATTCTCCGACGCCATGTTTACGTGCGAGCGGGTTTTCCATGTCTCCAAAGGGTAAACTTGGCGACAGTTGTGGAACGTTTCTCCTTTTCCAGTACGTGTACCTCCATTTCACGTATATCACTGTAAGTATTATGGCGACCGTAAATAGAATGCCCATACAAGCAATCATCGCACACTGGGTTCGGCAATATACTGGAAGAGTTAGGTACTTAAGCAAGGTCTGGGTTACCTATACGATACATACGTGGAATCCTCAGTTATAATTAGGGATATCTCAAATGCTAAACTTGAAGTAGTGACTTTGGAGAGCCTTAAGTTATATTTAGCATGCCTGTTATTGTTCTTCTGTAATGTACCTGTGCATAATATAATTGCCAATAACCTAAGTACATAATATTCCTGGATACCTACTAAAATTACTAAGCGCCGTCAGCAATTTGCGATATAATTACATGTTACCAATATCTACAATGATAACGGTATATAGAAATTTTAATGAGACGCAGTTTAGTTAATTTGTGGTTCGCTCCTCGAACGCGTGCAATGGGTTTATGAAGGCATTACGGAATGAGATAAGAAGACAAACAAATAAAATAAACCGATACAACGAAATATCAAAGGATCCTCAGTATTACAATCACTTTTAACGACAATTTATTTTAATCTTACAAAATTCATCAAATTCATGTCCTGGTCATTGAGAAAATGTTCTTGTTCTTTTTCCCAACGAGATTGGTGCATAAATAACGATGTTGACATGTTTTGATCAAAATCAACGTGGTCGCCAAAAATAGATCAAATTCATGTTTTTGTCATTAAGATAATGCTCTTGAACAGAATGACACTGAGAACAGATCCCTGGGGTAACCCAGTAATAGAGACAAGCTTCGATTGTTTCTCACTCTCATACGTCAGCGGTTTGCAATAAAGGCTATGAGATTGCCCGAAAAATTGTGACATCATGATCTTGATGAGTTCAGTGGTCCAGGTTGTTTCGTAGGCATTTCCTATAACCATAGAGACCAAGAGGAGGTGCACGTTGTGATAATCCACCCTTATGGTTAGGCAACACACCTTTACATCTGAAACAAAAATATGATATGCTCTGTATATAACCATTGTATATATTATATGATATAACCAATCGACCGTTTTGCGCAGATGCCGAAAACTAGGGGATTTTCGTAACGAAGCTAGGGGAAAAAAGAGCGTAGCCGTAGCGGAATGAAGAAGATGGCAACGAGGTCGACGGAAGGCATCGCTCGTTCCCGGTTTTTATTCATGATTATTTTGGTTGTGGTGTTTTGATGGCGTAATTACAGGTACCTTTATTCTTTCTTGTAGTAGCTATTAATAATTGAGTTTCTTGCCACAATAGGCAATAGGCTGATTTTGCATAAACTGTCTATATCCAATCATGCCTTTGTTTTGAGTACCGTTAGATGAATTGTGTTTGTTATGTGATTATGCCATTATTTTGTTTTATTAAGTATTTATTTCTGTATTCAGTGCGATGTTGCTCTGTTCGATTGACCCGTAACCATTCCGTGAGGGAAGTACCTAGTACAGTTTGATTGTTCGCTATATCTGTTACTTTCTGATTCGTGGTGCGCTGCAGTTCTTGTGCGTTAGCTATACGAAGGGGGGCTCTCTTGTTTGACGTTTCGATGTTTGTGTGTGCGAGTGGTTCAACCTGTCTCCGTGGAGCAGGTACCTAATACAGTTCGACCGTTCGCTGCTAGGTTCGCTGTAGTTGTTGCCTACTCGTCTCGTGCGGATTGCAGTTCTTAGCATCTTAGCAATGCGAGATATTTAGGGGCCTCTTATTAATATTTCCTCTATAGCTATTAAAATATGTTCTGCTTGAGCGATAATCAAAGTGTTTGCTGTACCATAAATGAATAAAAATTTTATTTGATACTTCTCAATTACGTATAGATCAGCAATCATACTCTGGGAAAATGAATCATAATTAAGTAGAAAAATATTAACTAAGAATGTTACATACAATTTCGTTCATTACGATCCCGAAAATTCACGGAGGTACTATCTACCTATGATCAGCAAAGAGATAATCATAAGTAGATGACCTTACACTTATTGCGAAAATAAATATGACTTTCAAATGAATAAACAATGCTTTTACGGTTGCGTTAAAAGCTCTTTCAATGTTATCCCGATTGGTTACACCACCAACAATACACATTACTAGCTATATTTCTATACCTTCCAGTTTTGCACATTTCCTTCCTTTATTATTAAACATAATGGACCATGTATACTTGTAATGATCAAGGACTAATTGAAGCTCCGCTGCGGTACTAAGGGTCCCTGGATCGAATCCAGGTTCTGGCGTGGATATTTGTAAGTGTATAGTGGGTTGGGTTGGTAGAGCAGCTTTGGCTGAAACCCCGCCCCCTCAAAAATACAGGCCAATTAAAAAAAACTAAAATAATGTACACATTTTCAAAAAGCTACACAAAAGGGCAAAATACATGATTTAAAGAGAACGTAGCGGGATTGCAAAATTTTGAACTAAATTCACAAATTTAACATCGTAAAATTGAATTAATAGACTAATAAATTAAACAAAAAAAATTTAGCAAACGAGCTCCTGGGTATGGATATAGCATGTGTAAACCTGATAGATGTTAGTTTTGCTTTTATTTAAAGTGTATATGTATGAAATTTCATTTAACTGCTTACACAAAACCAAATTTGGAAAATGGCGCTACATATTTGCTTTTATTCCAAGTGGCTATGTATCAAATTTCTTTTGAATGCCTCGATAAATAAGAAAGTTGGCACTGCGCATGCGCAAAACCAAATTTTTGAAACTGGTGTTAAATTTTCTATTATTCCAAGTGGCTATGTATCAAATTTTATTTAAATGCCACCATAAATAAGAAAGTTTGCAATTCGGTCTGTAAATGGTCGAAATGCGCAAAGGGCGAATGCTGATCGATTAGGCTCAACTTTTGGAATTGTGTTTTATATGGTTAAAGCTATGCGCATATTGAATTTCATGCAATTCGGTTCATAATTAACGGAGATGTCAAAAGGGCCTAGTTTATTTTTAGCGCATTTTTTCAGAATTAAAAAAAATGTGCTATTGTTTGCGTTTTGTCCGTCTGTCCGTCCGTCCGGACCCACTTCTACCGGGGAATGGTCCTAGAGTTCTGGAATTTTTTGCAGTAGGTAGCCTATACCTTGAAGGTGTGCCAGACGGCCATCAAATTTCGCTGTCTAAAAGGGGGGGGGGGCACGAATTATTTCCTGAGATGCTGTTTTTGAAAGTAAAACGTGCATAGCTTTTAGATACGTCAACCCATTGGTCTCGGATTTTGCACGCGCATGCCTTTAGTGGTGCCAATTTAAACTTTACAAAATTGGGGGGAGGGGGTAAACACATGTTCTACCCCTTCATGGTATTCTAATGAAAGGTCTCATCGAAATAAATTGGTTTGTACAAACTATAACTTTCCCGTGCCACTCTTTTTCGGGATCAGTGAGCGACGGGGCCTGAGGGGGGGGGGGGGGTTAAAAATTAATTTTCTCTCTTTGTATTCTAATTAAAGATCTCAACGAAATAAACCGTTTTCTTCTACCAACTGCTGCCCTTCCTTCTGTCCTCTTATCAAAGTACCGAGTGGCGGCGGCGAGGGGGAGGGGGAGTGTAACTTCATGGTACTCTAATGAAAGGTCTCAACGAAAGGAATTAATTTCTACCAACCATAGCCCTCCTCCACGACCTTTTATCGTAATCGGGTATATTCCCTTATACCTCAAGAACGCATTGTCGGAAGAGAGTGCTCACAAAGAGCGATTGAGACGTCTGCAAGAAATGTATCCATTGGTGATGACAAAACAAAAGCTATTTCGGTTAAAAAAATGCGCTTTAACTGCACAAGAGTTCTGCACAATTTATACTTGTTTGGTCTACATTGCCAATTCACGAACTCCGATCTACAGATTTGATAAAGAATCCACCTGCAAAATTTCATCGTAATCGGTCCATTCGTTTATGAGTTATCGTGCTAACGGACGGACGGACGGACGGACAGCCACCGCAAAATTATAAACTCCCTATGAGCTCGTTAATAAATAGATACGACACTCGAATAATACAATTACAAAATACCTAAATAAATAAATAAGGTTGAACTCCCTGCATGCGGTGTTGCCGAATTTCTTAAGAATGTGTGCATTATCGTAAGTTGTATCTTATGATGGTCACTTTGTCTACTTTTAGGGTTACAGAGAAATTCAAACCTACTACAATGTTAATTTAACATCTACCATAACATAAAAATAACAAATACGACTATTTCGGCCCTTTATAACTTTCTAAGAAAGTATATACAGGATGGCCCAACGAAAACAAAACAGACTGAATATGTAAGTTTTTAAAACAAACGCGTCGATTTGGGTTGGTAGGGGGACATATTATGAGGATTGACAGCAGGGGTAAAAGATGTCCCGCTTCCAACCAAAATCGACGTGTTTTTGCGTTTGCTTCAAAATTTTTTTCCTTACGAGTTATTCAGTCTGTTTCGTTTTCGTTGGGCCACCCTGCAAAATCAATTAGAAAAGTAGTCGTAAACGATTTCCAAAAAGCGCGTTCCCATATTAAGTCTTTTTTTTCCAAAAAAATAGTTACCCATGCCCCAAGTGGAAATCACTAGTCGGTTAACAATGCAAAGGATTTAAAAGAGTTACTTACGGAGAAATTAATTTCAAAAGCAAAAGAAAATTACGGAAAATAGTGGTACTCACAAAACTTATTTGTGACGGTAAAAATGCAAAAGATCTCCCAAAAAATCAAGTGTTTACCTTATAAAGAAATCCGGAGTTTGGGGAAGTGGAATTGGGAATTTCCAGCTCCTCGCTGTATTCAATACAAACGCGAATCAAATTAATTCGGTTTTTAATTAAGTTACCGGAACAATATGGGACAACTTTCAACTGTCTGAAAAAATTACAGCGCATCGGGACTCGGGAGACACATATCACTACTGTTTTTGATAATCTTCACTGAAACTTATTAAAACGTCAGTCGCTAATAATGCTTACCCAATTAGTCACGTTCAAACTTCAATACTCATTAATCCAATTAACACCTAGGCCTAATTGGAATTTTCCCGGCACAACTACTCGTTATCTACGCACATGCAAGGTTGCAAACTAATAACGTGTAAACAACTCGATTTGGAACTCGTTTCTATCCTGATTTTTACTTATTATTGGAATAATTCAAATTGTCTCTCTTCTTCTCGGTTACACCAGCTTTCGGAGGCTGCAAGAATAATTTAAATACTCCCACCGGAACGGTTGGAAACTGACAAATTTCACTCCAAAACTTAAGTGTGTTATTGGCGGTAGAACACTTACACAAAATAAAAACACAGAAAATAAGTTAATTCAAAAACTACGGTTTCTTAGTAACGAACCGCTAAGCTTAAAATGCTTCCCGATACCGGATGTTCGGCGAAGCTGTCGATCCTACAAATATACGGTGCGGTCATAACTTCAGGTATGAAATTCAGAGCGGAAAACGGGTACTTTGAAAGAGAGTACTTAAAAATGCGTTTCTTTTCATATAAAACAAATATAAGCAGAAATGAGTTACATATACAACCTATTGTCTACGTCAGTGGTTCCCAACCTTTTACTAACAACGAACCCCCCTTTAGATTTTTTTTTCTGGCGAACCCCCAACTTATTCTTGTTCATAATTTAACATTAACATTGTCATACTTTCTCTTCTTTGTTTTCATGTCACTACTATCCTCATGTATCTCCTTACTTTGTCTATGGGTCCTAATAATACTCCCTATCTTCAGCCACTGTTCCATAGTTTGCCTTTGAAGTGGTTTTCTTAATCACTTTCACTTTAACGTTAAGAGTTAAAACTGTCATGAAGTCAAATGAACCTAGCACTGAGTTGAGAAGTGAAAGAAATACATTGTAGCGCGTTTTTCATTCGTTTACACTCGCATTGAATGCTGTAATCATGCGCAAACGATTTTAATGAATTTACTCATTAGGGCTATACATAGCCCTAGGGCTATACGATTGATATATCTAAATTTAGCTTAAGTAAACTAATTCCGCCATTATGGTTTTTTGTTCTGCGAACCCCTTGGAAAGCGCCCGCGAACCCCCAGGGGTTCGCGAACCACCGGTTGGGAAACGCTGGTCTACGTGATGGCAAAAACTACACTTTATTAATGTCTAACCATATAGGATTTTCTGTGGTTATAATAAAACTATACTTATGCCATATAAACGGAGTTTGTACCTTTGGACTAACGGTAAAGGAATAGTTTTTTAACAAGCAAGTAAGACCAACTTTTGTCTGGATCATTCCGAACCGCATACCTACAATGAGAAAAGAATGAGGATCTGAGTTTTGTATCAGATTTCATAATCACCAATGCATATACGGGGACCTTCACCAAATGGCATGTAAGTAAATGGGGCTACGTTGTGCTTGTTGTCTTCAGAAAATCTTTCAGGATCGAACCTTTCGGGGTCAGGAAAATACTCTGGGTCCATATGTAAGCCCCATACGGGAATTAGTACCTTGGTTCCTTTTTCAATAGTGACGCCACTCACTGGTTCAACATAATCGCTAACGCACACTCTTGTATTAAGAGTTCCAGGGGGATATTTTCTTAACGTCTCTAAGATAATTTTTCATTAAATTATTAATTCGTAAAACCTCACCTTCAATAACTTGTGTCATGTATTTCATTTCCATAATCGCATCGTAAGTAATCTTGCCGCCATGCTGGTTCAAAACTCGATTAATTTCTTCTCGTACCTTTTCCTGCAGATCCACATTGGTTGCCAACTCGTATAAGCAAAACGTCATAGTAGTCGAAGATGTTTCAAAACCGGCGAGAAAAAAGAGTAAAGCTTGAGCCGCAATTTCTTCCATTGTAAATGCGTTGTCGTCCGATTCTTGAAGATCCATGACAATTTGTAACATGTCTTTGCGTTGTATGTTGTTCCTACGCCTGTATTTAACGGTATCCTTAACAACGTTGAAGAAAAAGGAACTGCTCTCCCTAGGAAGCAAGACCACTCCCAATTTATTGGCCAACTTCGGTTGAGACAATGCAAATGCGATTTTCAATGTATCTATTTTGCTACGTGGTGCAAATATTCTTCGACCGTGCTCACAAAACGCGGCATCTTCGCTTTTAAAACTGTTGCACTCCAAGCCAAACGCGCAAGAACCAATAACATCCGTAGTAAAACGCGCCAAAACGTCCTTAATATCAACCGATTGTTTACTCGTATAATAACCAGTCATGGCTGCCTCCATCGGATGAGTGCATTTCACCAAAGTTTCAAACATCATTTTCATTTTACCCGACGTGAAGGTCGGTGTGAGTTTAGCGCGCAAATTCTTCCACTTTTGGCCGCCGATATTGAACAGATGAAAACTTAATGGGTCATCCTTCTCGTTGTAATAAGTACCACGATCTACAAAATGATGAAAGTCCCTCTGCAGGATGTTTTTTATTATTTCCGGATCGATGGGTACGTAGTTTGGGCTTCCGAAAACGTATACACCTGCGTGCTTCGCTTTCTGCACTCTAAACCTGGTGTACAAAATTCTCAACCATTCACCGACGCCATGTTTACGCACTAAGGGATTTTCTAAGTTACCAAATGGAAAACTGGGTGACAGTTGTGGAACCCTTCTTCGTGTCCAATACGAGTACCTCCATTTTGTGTATATTGTGAATAGTACTGCAACGACGGCAAATAGAACACTCATATGGATGAACGCCATTTCACTCTTATGTCTTAAAGTGTTTGGTGGTTCATATGGATAAAAATTTTCGTTTATCACTGTATACTATTCAATTACGTAGAGGCATCCCGCATTTGTTTCGAAATAAGCCGTTATACTCTGGGAAAATCAATCATAATTAAAATTAAGTATACAAAAATAATAACTAAGAATATTACACAGAATTACGTTCATTACGAAAACTGATAATCACGACATTTCGAGGAGGAACTATCTATGTAGCTATAAATAATAAGTAAAGAGATAACATAAGTAAGTGACCTCCCACTTATTGCGAAAATAAAGATTAAGGTGCATCGAACGGGCGATAGAAAATTAGTCGCAGAGTGGCGGTCGAGTCGCCTTTGGAAGTTCAAGTTAAGTACGATTTCGCACGTAAACAAAAATTCCAAGGGTTACTCGTCAGCAACTCATTTTTGATCGCATAGTATACAGGGTGGTGACTTGCGTAACGCATCATAAGGATTTCAATGTAAAATTTATAACATGCGATTATTGGCTCCCCAAATTATTTTAGAGCAAAAATGTATTAATGTTTTTGTAGAAAAATTTTTTTACCTCAATCAACCGTATTAGTTTCCATTTTTTTGCATAATAAAGACGGAAAATTAGAAAAATAAAACCCCCACCTTTTTCAATAATCTGTGATGCCATGGAATTTTATAATACAAAAACTACGTCAATATCACCACCCTGTATAGTCAATTTGCAATTCAGTTATTATGCTTAGCGTTAGACCATCAACAATACACATTGCTATTCTGGCTCTGCAGTGAATTAAGGTTTCGATCTTGCGACTAATTTGAAAAATTTGCAGGTAACTAACAATACAAATTATTCATGTTTTCTAATGTACCTAGATTCTAAAACGCTGCAGACTCTATAATCAAAGAGTAATGGGTACTCTTTGCTATAATTTACAAACAAAGCAATTACTAGTACCTAAGTAAATATGAAATATCCCTTATCTCTTTTCTTTTTTTGTAATTTGTTAAGCTGGATTTATTTTGAAATGACTACATTAGTCATAGACAAATACCGTTACCGTTACCTAGAAGTATTCAGGCTTTCATTAATAATGTAACGGAAACGCTCCAGACATGACGTCGCCTTTGGCGCTCTGGAATTTTCTACGCGAGCGATAGTGGGATATGTATAGGACTATTCCAGACTTATCCGGTAAATTACGCGAATGTTCTTGACTTACATTGCTTGCGTGTATAAATGGTTGCGGACCGAACATCGCGGCAGTTTTACTACCGAACGAGATCGAGCGCGGAAATATAAATTGCGAAGTGTGTGATATAAATATCGATATAAATTGTACGGTTTTTATAGTGTTTTAGTTTTGTTTAATAAATATTGATATAAATCGAACCCGAATTTATAAATCACGTTACAATAATTTAGATCTGAAAATGTACATACTTTTTTATGATCTATCGAAAGAAAATATTATCATGATTTATTCACTTCCGGTTCTACCGGATGTCGATAGCAACTTTCTTATTTTAAATAGAACACCCTGTATTTGATTAGATTTTCTAAATCTACATGAAAAGCTACGTCGTTTGATACCGCATTTCCCTATACCCAGCGTCAAAGGTTTTCAAGTTATTCAAGATTCAAAAATCGACAGTACTGACTTGATAAACGTGACAATGATTTAAATTTTGATCGCTCTTCTACAGGGTGTTTTAAAACTAGTGGTCAACTTTATTAACTTCAAACCTTAAAAAGTTGATTTTTTCAAAACGATACATGCTTTATTTTTTTGCACTTGCAAATGTCGAAAAAAATTCTACATCAATCTAGTATTACATTCCGTATCTGTTATGCTTTCCGTTTTATTTTAGATTTTCTAAAATTGTGAAGAAAAGTATAGGGAATGTAATACTAGATCGATGTAGAATTTTTTTGACATTTGAAAGTGCAAAAAAATAAAGCATGTTTCGTTTGAAAAAATCAACTTTTTAAAGTTTAAAGTTAATAAAGTTGACCATTAGTTTTAAAACACCCTGTAGAAGGGCGATCAAAATTTAAATCATTGTCACGCAGCATCAAGTGAGTACTGTCAATTTTTGAATACTTTTTAAAATCCAAGTCAACGGACTCATAGATACAGAACTCCAAAGAATAGCAGTCAAACATAAAAAATTTTGAAAACATTTGATGCTGGGAATAGAGAAATTGGTATCGAAGGGCGTAGATTTTCATGTAGAACGATGCGCTATAAATTCGGAGGTCGAGTGTTCGAACCTGGGTTGAGGTGAATTTTTCATCTATGACAGAGATGGAAATTCTGCCGGATACTCCGAATTAAGTTTTCCTTTAGTTCTCCTAATTCGTAAGGTAAATACCGGAGTAGTATAGAACAACTTAAGACCTTCTACAGAGGCACCTCTAAAAAGCATTGTGCGAGTCACTTTGTAATTGGGCGTAAGCCTGTTGAGGGCCCAAAACAAGAGAGGGATAATAAATAAATAAATAAAATAAATGTAATTTCGAAAATGCAAGAAAATACAGGGTGTTCTATTTAAAATAAAAAGTTGCTATCGACATGCGATAGAACCGGAAGTTAAACGATCATGATAATATTTTCTTTCGATAGGTCAAAAAAAACTATGTTGGTATGCACATTTTCAGATTTAATTGATCAATGAAAACCTGAAAACTTTTAGGTAACGGTTTGCGTGAGACAGCCTGTAATACTTGGTGTAATTACGAAAGTAGGTCCACAAGAATTATTACAAACTTCTAATCAATGAAACCAGCAAATAAATAAATAAAATTACATTATTAGCTAATTATTATGTTAATGACGCCGGACAAAGCCCAAAGAGGTGAATTTCATTACAGATAACATTGAATAGGCTAATCTCTAATGCTATTTTTAGAAAAATAAATAGGATTTATTCGCAATTGACAGTTAATTACAATTTCGCCGGGGGGGGGGGGGCGTATGGTGTAATTTAAGTTGCCTAACTGTGCTTTTAATTGGTGAAACACTTGATGATGTCATTAAAACATTTTCCCCAATTTTTTTCTTAATTTAAGGAATGAAAAAGGTATATCTATGTACAAGCATACAATTTTGTTAGCTCGTTGTAAATCGGCAAAACCCATTTCCGTATGTTTTATAAAAGCGCCGTTATCTTAAAGACAAGCTTTAGCAATTGTACTAGTTATTTCCAAAATTATGGCAAATTTCAAAAGTCGGTACAATCATTCTGTTGGTTAATACCTACAATATTTGACATCGAAATGCGATTATAAAATCAAAATCTTAAATATTTTAATTTTAATTTTATTTTATTTTATTTATTTTTATTTTTTTTATTGTAATTTTAATTTTTAATTTTTATTTTTTTTATTGTAATTTTAATTTTTAATTGTTATTTTTTTTATTTTTTTTAATTTTATTTTATTGTCCCTCTTGTTCTAGGCCCTCAACAGGCTTACTTCCAACTACAGCGTGACCCGCATTATGCTTTTTAGAGGTACCCTTGCAGAAGGTCTTAAGTTGTTCTATACTACTCCGGTATTTACCTTACGAATTAGGAAAACTGCAGAGCCGTCTTAAGAGCCATTGACCCACCAACGCTATTTGGTTCGTTATGGTGTCCAGGATTGCATGTTTCGAGCGAGGGGGTAGCCATTGGTTTTACCTTTCACGGTATTCTATGTTATTCTAATGAAAGGTCTCAGTGAGAGAAATTCATTTTTACCAACCACAATCCTGTATTATACTTCCCCATATCTGAAGAGAGGATCAGAGGAGAAGCAGAAGCGTACTCACAAAATGTTGCACAATATTTGACTCTCTATGGTATTGACTCCAGCAAGTAGCCTAAACGTATTTCTTGTTGAGGTATTCCACCCCGAGCAAAGAATACTTAACTTTTGTTCCAACAACTTTTGTTGTTCCAGCGCCATATATGGAAGCTAGTAAGAATGGAAATCTTCGGCGATCAAAAAAGCGTGGTAAGTAGAGATCTAGAGCACGCAGACCTTGAGTGGGAATTTCATAGATTGAGGGTAAAATTTGGATTTTAATTACTAATTAATTCTTATTGAGAAGGGGTGTTTTAAACACGCTAGTTAACTGCACCTAAACATATACACAAAAATGGGGCCCTACATTAATCAGAGTTTATTAACATCTAACCATATTGGATCTTCCGTGGTTATTATGAAGCTATATTTATCCCATTTGAATGGAATTTTGGTTTTCGGACTGAGAGTAAATGAATAGTCCCTTAACAAGTAGGCCAGGCCAACCTTTGTCAGCATCATTCCGAATCTCATACCTGAAAACCAGAACAGATGAGCCTGCACCAAGTTTGTGTTATTACCGATGCATATGCGCGGACCTTCACCAAAGGGCATATACGTGAAAGGAACAATGCTGTGCTTCTTTTCATCCGAAAATCTGTCAGGATCGAACTTTTCAGGATCAGGAAAATACTCTGGATCCATATGTAGACCCCATGCCGGGATTAGGACTTTTGTTCCTTTTTCAATAGTCACACCAGTGACGGGTTCTACGTAATCTGCGACACACTCTCGAGGTAACAGACCTCCGGGAGGATACTTTCTCAACGTCTCTGAAAAAGAATACTTTCAATCACTAATCCACAATATGATCTAATATTACCGTCGATAACTTGAGTCAAATACTTCATCTGCATGATTGCTTCGTATGTAAGCTTGCCGTCTTGCTGTTCTAAAACGTGATTAATTTCCTCTCGCACCTTTTCCTGTAGATCCATGTTAATTGTCAACTCGTAGAGGCAGAAGGTCATAGTAGTCGAAGAAGTTTCAAAGCCGGCCAGAAAAAAGACAAACGCTTGAGCCGCAATTTCTTCCATTGTTAATGTGCCTTTTTGAAGATCCATAACAATCTGCAACATGTCTTTGCGAGAAAAACCATTCTCGCGCCTATATTTAACTGTGTCCTTGACAACGTTGAAGAAGAAGGAGCTGCTGTCCTTAGGAAATAGGGGCACTCCCAATCTGTTGGCCCACTTCCGCGTTATCATCGCAAACAAACCTATCAGTGCTTTAATTTTTGTTTCTGGAGCAAAAATTTGCCGACCATGGTGGCGAAACGCTGCATCTTCGTTTGTAAAACTGTTACACTCCAACCCAAACGCGCACGATCCAATAACATCCGTCGTGAAGCGCGCCAAAATGTCTTTTATATCAACCGGTTTTTTATTGGCGCAATATGAAGCCATGTCGTTTTGCATGGGATCGACGCATGCTACCAAAGTTTCAAACATCATTTTCATCTTACCCGAAGTGAAGGTCGGCGTAAGTTTAGCCCGCAGGTTTTTCCATTTTTGACCGCCGATGAAAAATAAATTGGCGCTTAAAGGGTCATCCTTTTCATTATAGTACAATCCGCGTTCTACAAAATGATGAAAGTCCTTCTGCATGATATTTTTTATCACTTCTGGTGCGATAGGTACGTACATTGGATGTACGAAAAAATAGACACCTCCATGTTTCGATCCGCGTTCCTTAAAGGCTTTGTACACAAGAGCCAACCATTCATCGATAAAAAGTTTTCGCGTGAGTGGATTTTCCGCATTTCCAAAGGGGAAACTATGAGGTAATTGTGGGACATTTCGTCTTTTCCAATACGAATACATCCATTTGACGTAGACAGTTGTAATTAATACAAGGAGGGCCAGAAAAACGCTCACCATATTAATGCCATAGCAACTTTTAATCACAATTTCCGACAGCTGCTACGAGTGAGCTGAACGCACTGGACAATGAGATGAAAAATTTCAAGCACTGTAGGTACCTAAACTGCAAGTAATTTCCTATCCACTGCCAAGGTAATGAGTAGCACCGTTATTACTATCTGATAAGCAACCTAAGTGGGTCCTACTTAATCGTTCGATCAATTTAACCCCGTCCCCCTCTTGCACCCGTTCAATTTATCCTATCGAATTTTATTTTTACTTTTATTTGAAACTTTTATCGATAACTCTCTTTGTTACTAATATATTTGAACTTTTTAAAAATGATTTTCACTTTTTTCCAATTATCTACGAAACGATTTCTTTTTTCAAAATATCGCATCGGAAAATCCATCAGCATCAAAAACTACACAACTTTGCCAATTTAACCGAAGTTCCATAAATGGCCAAAAGTCCATGTCATTTTTGAATTGTTTTTCTGCTGACAGCTCTATTATTTTCCAATACTAAATCAAAATCCTTAATAATAATAGTCATGAACAAGTTGTAACACTCTAATCAATAGGTTCAAGTAAGATAAAGCACTAAGTTATCTGTTGTATATATGACCTCCAAATTACAAAAAAATATATATACAAAATATACGTAGCGCCATCGTGACGTAAAAAAGAACTTCCAAAATGCATAAACGATAAATGGGACAATCGTACAGGATGAGTCAACGATTGCGCGGAGTATCTACAGTATCCGCGACTCTTCCTGAATCTACCGATTGCAGTCGAGTACGGTACAATCAACACTAGACGCGACACCACTCGTCTTCTTTTCTACTCGGAAAACCTGGTAAATTCATACCCATACAAAACATAAGCATTTCCAATGCTAAAAAGTGAGATCTTTTAATATGAAGTTTTGCAACTTTGGACCTACCAAAAAAACACCCTGTAAGCTATTTTTTTATGTTTCATAGTAAGTAGATGTATTTATTTGACTTTTACTTAACCCGGGATAAAAGATATAAAACCTGGAATCAAAAATTAAGTAACAATTTTGACAATATACTGACGCTTGCAAATACCCAATTTTTCTTACAAATCGAATTATCTGTAAAACTACTAGCTTTCCGGATATTAACCATATAATAAAAAAGACGTACAATTACACGTAGAATTCAAAAATGCATAAATATAGGGGTTCTATTTAAAAAATTTACCATTTTGGGGCCCTACTTTGTGGGCGCACCCTGTATAACTCCAAATATTTTTAAAATGTGGAGAATAGTCAACCATATCATAATACAAAAGCACTCTATCGAAAAATCTTAACTTCAAGGCATTAAGTTACTCCGCGCAATCGTTGACTCACCCTGTACAATGATGAAGCGGAAAAGGAAAGCTAGAAGCTAAACCACAAACGACAAAACTACGAAATGTTTAGTTCGTGCAAAATTTCACGGAGGGCATATAACGCTCGGCCTGGAACGGATCCTGTTTGCCCCACGTTGGGCGCCGAACTATATTCATAACGCCAAAATGAAATATTGGATAATCAGCCCTTAAAACGTTATTTTACATTATTTAGTATACGCAAAATGACGTTTTTGACAGATAACCTGTACGTTACCTGTAAGTTTAACGTTAGCGATACGTCACAGGGCTGATTATTGGATATACAAAAGCGCCCCCTTGTTTTTAACAACCGCTAATTATGAAAAAAGAAGGTATGGTAGTAAATTTATACTTTTTCTTTTGCACAATGGCATGAATGTGCATGACAAAAATCGAACTGGACGACCGTCAGTGTTATATTCTGATATTTTGAAAAAAATAATTCGTTTCCTAGATAATTGGAAAAAAGTGAAAATCGCCATTTTTAAAATTTTAAATATTTTAGTAACAGAGAGCTATCGAAAAAAGTTTCAAATAAAAATTGCAATATTCAATGGGATAAATTCAATGGGCGTAGAAAAAAAATGTTCAAAATGACGATATTGACATCAATTTCCTTATTTTAAATGGAAGCCATATTGGATTTTTACGTCACTAAGTAGAGAAAAAAATTACAAAACTTGTGCAACTAAACACTTAGTATTTCATTACGGAATCAACCTTGCATTTTGGTCTCGAAGTTTACAATGTATTTCTTATGGCAATAATTCCAAGGCTGATTGTGATTGAAAACAAATTCGTTCGTTTATTGTAGCGCATAGTCACCATCGGCACCGCCATGGAATTATTGCCATAAGTAGGTAGGTAGTAGGCAAAAATGCAAAGTGGATTCCCAAATGATATACTAAGTGTTTAGTATGACTAGTTTTGTAATTTTTTTCTCTATCGAATGACGTCAAAATTCAATATGGCGTCCATTTAAAATAACGAAGTTGATCTCAATATCTCGAAAACCGCCATTTTGAAAATTTTCTACACCCGTTGATTTTATCCTATCGAATTTTACAACTTTTATCGATAGCTCTTTTTGTTATAATTATTATATTTGAACTTTTTAAAAATGGCCATTTTCACTTTTTTCCAATTACCTACGAAACGATTGATTTTTTTTAAATATCGCATCGGAAAATCCATCAGCATCAAAAACTACATCGATTAGGTAGGTACTTCGCTTAAACAAAAGCGACGCGGTGCATAAGGCGTAAATACAATAAAAGGAAAGTGCTGGGCTTCAACAAATTTAAATACGAATTTAAGAGCTTGAAACTGGAATCCAAACCGAATGGTTTTTTGCCGGTGGATTACAGGGTGGACTGGTGGAGCACCAATATACAGGGTGATTCCTATAGTACCTGCCACCGTTTGGGAGCGTATAGGGGGTGCCTAGGGGAAGTCTTTTCATATAGGACACTTGGGGTCGGAAATCCAAAATAAGGGCGCCAGAACCAAATTTATCTTCTGGAATTTCACGCCTGTATGTGTAGGCAACCCAACCGACCGACGTTTCGCGCGGAGCGATGCAGAGCGAGTTAGCGCGAGGAAGCGACATGGGAGGGAAGGAGGGAAAACGACCGTCAAAAGCAATAACGTTTACAAGTGTTCAACGTGGCCACCGTTGTTCTCAATGCACTTCCTACATCTAGCCAACCACTCCCCTCGAACTCGCGTGAAGACTGCTATGTCCTGGCGAACAGCCTCTCCGGCCATGACGACGCGCGCAATTAAGTCCTCTTCGGATTCGACGGGAGTCTCGTAGACGTGCGCTTCCATCACACCCCACAAGTAAAAATCTAATTGGGTGATGTCGGGCGAGCGGGCAGGCCACTCCACCGCACCTCCACGGCCGATCCATCTGTCCGGATAGGTTTGGTCCAAGTGTTCCCTCACCTGCCGCCCGTAGTGAGCAGGGCACCCATCGTGCTGGAACCAGTGGTCCCAGTACAAGTTCACTGGAACATCCATTAAAAGTTCTGGTAGCACCTCGCGCAGGAAAATCAGGTAATTATGGGCATTTAGACGCGGGGGGAGGATGTAAGGCCCCAGTAGGTTGTCCCCCAGGATGCCAGCCCAAACGTTTAAAGAAAACTTGTCCTGGTATCCTCGCGTAAACGTTTCATGAGGATTGTGTCCGCCCAGTAGTGGCTGTTACGAGGATTGAAGGTCCCCTCTCTTGAGAATCCTTTCTCGTCAGTAACTAGCACGCTCCTCAGAAAGTTCGGATTAGCTTCTTCCTCCTGGACGACTAAGTTGCAGAATTCCAGCCTCCTTTCATGGTCATCCGGCCGTAACTCTTGCACTTTCTTAAACTTATAGGGGTGTAAGTTGTTGTTGTTGGCGATGTTCCACACTGTGTGTTGACTACAATCCACCTGATCTGCTACAAGTCGAGTGCTAGTACGCGGGTTTGCCTCGAAACGTTCCAACACATCCTCCTCTAAGGCATTTACCAACGGGCGATCGCGATCACGGGCGCTAGTGGGCTGCGAAATAGGAGGAGGTCGGTGTAAACAAACAAACTTTTCGAAATGGGTGCTTAAATGACCCAAGTATCGATGTGCATTACGAATCTGTGTGTAAAGTTAAGCCTCCGTCAGCTTACCTGCAATTGCCCTGTCTCGCACAGTCGGAAGTGAACTTCTTGAAAGACCTGTCTGCAAGGTAACTGACGGTTTGGATACCGCTCAGCGTACGCTCGTCGTGCAGCTCGTGCGTTACCATTTGCCAATCCGTACATGAAGTGCATGTCCGCGTATTCCGTGTTAGTAAAACGTGCCATAGTGTTTATTCACTTGATACGCGTCGTTGCAGACGGGATTTCGTGGGTTTAAACAAAATTCTGATCAAGTGTCAGCCACACATCGCCGCCTGAGATCGCTCCGTGTGCACCGCCGGCCGGTTGGGTTGCCTACCTACAGGCGCGAAATTCCAGAAGGTAAATTTGGCTCTGGCACCCTTATTTTAGATTTCCGACCCCAAGTATCCTATATCAAAATACTCCCCTACGCACCACCTACACGCTCCCAAACGGTGGCAGGTACTATAGGAATCACCCTGTATGTAAAGAACCGGTGAAGCAGTACCTACGTAAGAGAACTATATACAGCATACACAGAAGGTAGTGGGATTTTACAAATAACGGACAAATGATTTGATAGAATTATCAGGAATTTTTTTACTGTCATTTGTAAGTTATAATCTATCATGGAAAGTGTTTATTCTAACCATAAATGGAAAAATAATAATTTATTACATAAAAGTTAGGGAAATGATACCTACTAGCGAGGAAATATTGAAGTGTGATGCCCCCTTGGGGCCGAGTACTTTAATTTCCGAGTCAAGTAATGTCATTTTACTGACGAGTTTTGTATTAAATTATACCCGAAATCGTATTTTAATATAAGATTTCAATTTTTATATAGAACTTTTGAATAATGTCAATCTGTGAGTGATGACATGAGTCATTATACACATTTGGAAATTTCACAAATGTGGCCGGTAAAGTGACGGTGCGGCCGGTAAAGTGACAAGCGGCAGGAAACGTAGTCTGCTCTGCCTCTGTCATGGAAACTAAAGTTTCCTGACAGAAAATAGGCATGAAAATGAATGTTTCAGGACGATAGTTATTTATTTATTTACCGAGACCGTGAACTTTCCATGCTAGTAATTTATTTTAGAGATTTTAGTCTATAAAACAATAACTTGAAGGCGGTATTTTATTATTAATGGAGAAAGAAATTTTCCTTTCAAGCTACTGTGAAATTTTCTTCTTTACATATTTTCTCGAAAAATGCACATTTTTGGAGATATCTGCGGAAACCGCTTTTGGCGGCCATCTTGGCAAGATGGCGGCGACGGTGGCAAGTTTCGAATTGTGCATTTTATAAATTTTAGTTCTACGCACTCAAGCATACAAAATTTCAGTACTTCCCGAGATATTTCCAGGTAAAAATCCTCAATGACTGGCCTATTAGCAGAACCTCTAAAGATCGAAATAATTTCCAAACGGTATGTTTTGCTGGCAAACTTTTTACGGCAGAAACCGGCACAAATGTGGCACTAATACCAATCCACCTAGTCTCGAAATTTGTGCCGCCAATGCTAACTTCACAGACCTCCTAAATTTAATTAAGTCATTTAATAAGTGCCTAAATTGATTTTGCTGTTCCAGAAGTATTTAATTAAATAAGGTCTCTTCAAAGTTATTAGACGCTTTTATTTAGGCGGCTCTAAACTAGTGCTGTAATTTCTAGAACACCTCAAGAGACTTGTCCTGATGACGTATTGGGGTCTCAGTATCAGGAAAATCGAAATTCACGTCATTTTTTTAATCATCTATAGGTATAGTAGTAGAAAATGACGAAAGCGCCAAAAATGCGGTCAGAGTTTAAACTTGCGACAAGTTGTATCTATGTGACTGGTCACATGTGTGCAGTTGCATTTTAACCAAATCCACGATTAGAATTTTTTTGTAGTCGGGCTGGTGCCAACTGTCAGTTTGTAGTCTCGCAAACTACACTGAAAAACCGCACCATTTTTAGAAGAAAGTCATGCTAAAAACCCTGTACTTTTTTTTTGAAATTTTATAACGAAATCGTACTCTTTCAACGCTGAATACAATAATCAAAGCTTCCTAACATCTAACCATATTGGATCTTCTGTGGATATTATAAAGCTGTATTTGTCCCAGGTCAAAGGTATATTCGTCTTCGAACTAACAGCGAACGAATAATGTTTTAGCAAGTGGGTTAGGCCGACCTTTATCTGCATCATTCCAAATCTCATGCCTTAAACCAAAAAGCGTGAAAACCTCTAGCATTACACCTGTTTCTTTTCTTTACCAATACATATGCGGGGACCCTCACCAAACGGCATGTAAGTGAAGGGAACAATGTTGCGCTTGTTTTCTTCCGAAAATCTGTCAGGATCAAATTTTTCAGGGTCCGGAAAGTATTCGGGATCCATATGTAAGCCCAACACCGGAATTAGTACTTTTGTTCCTTTTTCAATAGTCACGCCAGTAATCGGTTCAAAGTAATCATCGACACATTTTCGAGGTAGCAGAGTTCCAGGAGGATATTTTCTTAAGGTCTCTGGAAAAGAATGAACCAAATCACCACTAATCCTTAAGCTGGTCTAATCTTACCGTCGATAACTTGAGTCATATACTTCATGTCCATTATTGCTTCGTAAGTGAGTTTTCCGTCGTGCTGTTCTAAAACGCGATTAATTTCCTCCCTCACCTTTTCTTGTAGATCTGAATTTATCCCCAATTCGTAAAGACAAAACGTCATAGTAGTCGAAGACGTTTCGAAGCCCGCCAAGAAAAAGACAAAAGCTTGAGCTGCTATTTCTTCTATTGTTAATGATTCCACTCCTGCTTCCTGAAGATCCATCACAATTTGTAACATGTCTTTGCGATGAACACCACTCTCTCGCCTATAATTAACGGTGTCCTTGACAACGTTGAAGAAGAAGGAACTACTCTCCTTAGGAAACACCGATACTCCCAATCTGTTGGCCCACTTCGGTGATATCAGTGCAAACAATCCTATCAGTGCTTTAACTTTCGTTTCTGGCGAAAAGATTCTTTGACCATGGTTGCGAAATGCAGCGTCTGCAGTTTTAAAGCTATTGCACTCCAACCCAAACGCGCACGATCCAATAACATCAGTAGTAAAGCGTGCCAAGGTGTCTTTTATATCAACTGGTTCCTTACTGATGCAATATGAGGTTATGGCTGCGTCCATGGGATTGATGCATTCCACCAAAGTTTCAAACATCATCTTCATCTTACCCGACGTAAACGTCGGCGTAAGCTTTGTCCGCAGGTTCCTCCATCTTTGACCACCGATGAGAAACAAATTGCCACTTAAAGGATCATCCGTTTCATTACAGTATAATCCGCGCTCTACAAAATGACTGAAGTCTTTCTGCATGATATTTTTTATTACTTCTGGTGCGATGGGTACGTAGTTCGGGGATGCAATAAAGTAAATCCCTGCGTGTTTGGCACCGCGTTCTTTAAACGTTTTATACACCAAAGCAAACCATTCACCGTGGGAAAATTTTCGATTGAAAGGGTTTTCTACATTTCCAAGGGGGAAACTAGGCGGTAACTGTGGAACATTCCTTCTTTTCCAATACGAATACATCCATTTGAAGTAAATAGTTGTAACTATGACAAATAGGGTCAGAAAAACGCTCACTACAAACGCCATTGTACACTCGCGTCACAAATCACATTCACAAGTTCAATACCATGGGATTTCAAATTTAAAGTGGCCGTAAGTTGCAAGTATTGTCCACTCGAAGGTAACGTAGTGACGTTAAGTACTATCTGAAAGCGCTACTCAATCAGTTTATCAACGTTATCGCATTATAGTTAAGACCACTCCATACGTAAAGTGCAACAAATTATTTTCATTATCATGTTTCTATTTTTTGCTAGGAGCTTACATAACAATAATAGGTAATATCATTGACTAATAATTAGCAATGGTAATATCGACTCATGTTCATTACAAGTGGATCAGTGGATTTAGGTCAGATCATTAGTTTATCTCCTGTTTGTGTAACGTGATGATCTGAACCTGAATCGTGTCCAAATATGCGAACGTTTTTCCAAAGAAATTGAGGTGAAAGCTAAAAGGTTTCTAGTGTAGGAATTTCTGAGTGAATTTCCGAAAAAAAAACTGAAAAATCCATTGTAGGAATTTTAAAGTTTCGAGGTAGTCGCGTCGGAGATCCATTCACAAAATCGGAATAAATGCAAGTGTCATCACGTTACTCTTCAGTAAAATTAACAAAGTCCAAACGATTAGATTTTAACACCCAATCCACTTTTCTAACATTTTTATTTTACAAATTACTACTTGGTATGCCCAAAGTAACATAAAACTCCGAAATTTACTAGGTGGGTTCTGTTCTTCTTTTTCTTCTGCTTCTGCTTCTGCTTTCGATTCCGGTTCTGCATTCCGCTTCCGCTTCTGCTTTTGTTTCTGCTTTGGAGTAGTATTTCTCTATGTATATATTCTTTCCTCTCAGTCTTTTGATTCCTTTCAATATCTCCATCTTTCCCTTTTCCAAATTCCACTTGTATGGGTCTGGTTTTTCCTGTACGGTATTTACGCAACCTTCTTGTTTCACTGTTTCTTTTTCCATTTCTATTTTTATTCCCATGTCCCTTATGACCACTCTTCTTTTTTTTTGTGGTTACAGCTCCCTCTCCTCTTCTTGGTCTTCTAATGCGTGTATTATTATGCTATTTTCCTTGATTTCTCTATTCATTTCTTCTCTCAGCCTCTCGAGTTGTGCATTCTTGTGCTGTCGACCTTTTCCGGGCAAGTGTGCAGTTCCGCTGTCAAATGTTGTCCAGTCCCTATGTTAGATGTCGCCTGCTTTTGTCCACTGAAATCAAATCCCTTTCTCACTCCTTTGCATGAATTTGTATTTCACCAGAACACTTTTTCCGATACCTTTACCAGAGGTCACTAACCGATCAGAAATTCATTCTCGAGGTTCGGTCCAGAACTGATTATTATTAATTATTCCTATATATTCCCGACCAGATACCAGAATTTCTTTTTCGTTTATTTTCCAGTCGCCCATTATTAAATTCTCACCAGACCAGCGGACTTCACGTTACATAATACTGCATTCACATTTTGGGTTTGTGCATTTGGTGGATAGACGTGACTCAAAGGCAATTGTGATCGTCCTCCGTGATTGTCGAAAGATTCAACTGGCGCTTGATAAGGGGTCATTTGAATCGTTTGGAAGATTCCATTTAAGGTACGTCATTGCCAATACTTTACAGGAATGACACTGAATTCATGCTCATGGATTTTAAATATCGTCCCTCATTTCTAGCATATACAGTGATATTCATGTAGAAGTAGACATAGGGATTTCCTATAGGGATTTCCTATGTCTACATTTACATGATAAAAAATCTTCTGAAAGACGCCTAATTTTATGCAACTTAACTACCTACAACAAAAGAGGATTGCTTTGACTTCCCTATTCTTATTTCGGTTCGTGTGCGATGTAAGTATTCAACTAAAGAAAAAGTTGATATTTCCAATTGGTATAGTGCCGATAACAGTTCAAGGAGCTTAAGAGATTCATTTTCTGTGAAGCTAAAGCAACAATATTCAAATTAATAATTAATATGACAGCCAGATCTTTATTTGTTTCAAGAAGTTATTTTGGTTGCATAAAATTAGGCGTCCTTCAGGAGACTTTTTATCATGTAAATGTAGACATTGGAAATCCCTATGTCTACTTCTACATGAATATCACTGTA